TTCATCTGTAAGGAAATTTCCTAACATTCCCTGCTATACAGGAGGATAGATATGATATACAAAAACTCTTTTCTTTATTTTGTTCCAAAATATTCTTATGTCTTCATACTTTGCTTAGTTTCTAGAGAGGATCTTTTGTTACTGCAATGCTCTTTCAGATCCCTGTGTTACACCTTTTGTTTTCTGTTATTGTACCACCCAAATGGTTAAATTTCTCTATTTGCTTGATTCTGACATCTCCACTTCAAAATGAGAGTTACCATTGATTGCCTCTTTTGCTGACAACCACACATTCTGCTTTCTTACTGGAAATCTAATTAATAATTAACAGTAAAACTGCATTTAATGAAAGTGGAAAGAACATAAAATGCTTTAAAAACTGAACATTAAAATTATATTTAAAAATTGTATTAAGAAACCTGATAAATTCTCACTGAAAAGCAGAAACAAATATTCAAGAAATGACAGTTATTGACTACAATTCAAATAGGAAATCCAAGATATTAAAAAGTGAATAGGTTAAGGGCTAAAATACTTAATTGAAAGAGGTTCTCTTTGTCTAAAGATTTCCTGTCTTTCAAGAGAGTAGAGAAGCAAATGGTATACAGATATGAAACTGCTTAATTACCATCACTTCAAGCAGACTTTTTAAACTGACATCAAACCACAAAGAAACAATTTCCAATGACATCAAAACTGTGTATCTTATTATTTGAAAAACTTGTTCTCCGATTTTCATCATTAATTTTTCCAAGCTCAAATATTATAAAACGTGTCAGTTTTATAAAATTTGAGCTTGGAAAATATATTAAACATTGTATTTGATCAACTTCAACTATGTGTGTGTGTGTTTAGATTTAATAAGCTGGCTAACGAAATTTCAGGAATAAAAAGATAACAATACTGGAAATAAGACTGATGATATTTATTATATATTAGGAGGTTTTTTTTGATGAAATTGAATCATGAAGAGAAAGAATTTAAAGTCATATCATTATCATGTTGTTGTCTCTTCAAATTTCATCATACAGCCTATTAAATCTACATATTATAAGAAGCACACATTGACCATCTTTTGTTTTAATTATATATATTGATGTAATTGAATAACCAGCCACCGCTATGAATGATTACACTATAGGTAGTAAGTACGTATAAAGTCAACCATCTATGAGAGACTGGAGGAAGAATGAGAGTGAGAAGACGCAAGCATGTCTGACATTCCAATTAGTGGCACTCACTACTAGACTGACCTGTGTGTATAACTGTACCGTATTTCATATTCTATTTGTTGTGTACAATAAACCTTTCTTCCACCTGGTGTTAAGTATCTATCCCCTTAGAACAGTGGCGACGAGGATTGTTTAAATGAATTCACACCAAAATTCAGTGACGTCGAAACGAACTAGCTAGAAGAAAAATATTTGTCAGCTACACATTTTGGATTACAGAGGTTTCAAAGGAAGACTTTCTAAAAAAGGATTATCTCTCAAAATATTTTTAAAGCAAGAATATTTTTGTATTCTTTAACAAGAGTAGTTTGAGTTTATTGGAAGGCAAAAAAGTGAAGTTTGAGTATTTTGTTTGTTTGTTTTCTTCTTGTTTGTCCTTTTGTTTCTGAATGACTTGCCGAGTTTTCAGTATGGAACAATTAACAGAGCTTACAAAACTGTTGTGTGCTAGGGTTCAGCAGCAACAAATACAACTGTTGCAAAACTAACAACAACAACAGCTTCAACTTTTTGAAAAATTAATGATGAAAACTAGACACCAAAAAAACATTTTTTTATCTGCCGAAGGTATTGCAAATTCATTAATGGAATTTCATTATGGCCCGGACAATGGGATTACCTTCCCGGCACATTTCAGAAGATATGAATCTATATTTACAGATAGATGCCAAGACTGGTCAGATGAGGGAAAGGTTACCCTTTTATTACAAACAAATGGGGAAAGATGAAAATACAAAATACTCTAACCTAATATTACCAAAGAAACTGGAAGAAGTCTCGTTTGAAGAAACAGTTAAAACACTATCAAGGATATTCGTTGAAAGAGATAGCTTGTTCCACACACATTATTATAAATGCCTTAATATTGTGAAGTCTGAAAACGAGGATTTTTTATCATATGCTGGGACGGTTAACTCATTATGTGAACTTTTCAAAATTGACGAGATTTCGAAAGACTTATTCAAATGTCTAATATTTGTTCAGGGACTAACAGCTCCCAAGGAGAAGGATATCAGGTCGTGAATTCTTACAATTATTGAAAAAGACGATAAGATTACTTTGCAAAAAGTTACAGAAGAGTGCCAACGTTTTATTAACATAACACGACAATACTTGTATAGAGGAAAGGAATGTTTTCAAAGTTCAGCGAATGAAAGCAAAAAAGGCCACAAACATGAAGAACAAAGAGAAAAGAGAAATGTGAATGTTGCAGAGGATTTAATCACACAAAATATAATTGCTGGTATAAAACAAGGTATGTTTTGGTCGTAAGGGACATAATGGGTCCCAATGCCATAAAAGAAAGAAAGACCTGTGAAAAAGTGAATGTGATTCTCTCCAGAAAGAAATTTGAAAATGGTGAGAAACAAAAGTATGTCGATCCACCATATAAATAGACATATAGTAACATCTCTTTTGGATTCAGGTTCTGACATTTATAATTGACGAACAGACATCAAGAAAAATAGGTTGACCAAAGTTGACTAACATGAACAAAATTGCCAGAGGTATTTCAGGAAAAACACTCAAATTTAAGGGTGAACTAATATATATATATATATATATATATATATATATATATATATATATATAGCTGATACCTCCTGATGAGTGGGCAGAGTGACAAAAAATATTTTTAGTAAAAAAAAAAAATCAGGTGAGTCACTTTTTATTGAACAGCACTGTATGTATGTATATATATATATATATATATATATATATATATATATATGAAAACATCTATTCTTCAGAATACTTGATTTGAAAACATTCATTTATTGTGTTTCACCAGAACATTTTTTTATAATCAAGTATTCTGAAGAGTGGATGTAATCTCCATGAAAGTCAACAAAGAGTGGAAGATGAAGTAAATTAAGATTTTTTCTCCTAGTTTATTACAGATTTTACAACTGATGAAAGAATGGAACAGCCAAAACATGTTAACAACATTGAGAACACAAAGAAAGTAAATAAAATTGGGAAATTAATGAGTAATGAAGATTGAAAAGAATAAGGAATGAAATGAGAAGATACAAACCGAGAGTGAAAGAAGAGCAGAAGTATGTGTTGATATCTTTGGTAATGAAAAGACAGAATTTTCATGATTCCTGCTGGTTTCAAACATTTCTCGATAAATGAATTACAACTGGGACCTCTTTGAAGAAATGCATTCGCCTTTTCTTCGGTGCTTAGTATAGCACTGCACTCACAAGCAATTGCTAATTAGTCCAATTCTTACAGGAATTGATCTCTTGCTGAATTCAGTTCAACAAATATCTACATTTAGTTTTGCTGTTAACTTGGTTTTTATTTGAGAGAAAAATATCATTGTGTTGTTTGATAAAAAATGAAAATGTGACAGTCTTGAACAAGGACATGATAATTGTAATATTAGGAATTTGCTTATAAGAAAACCTTTAGCATTTATTGACCAATCAGCCAGTACTGTTTTCAGTTGAAATTTATAAAATTTTTCTCTTAAAACAATTTTTAGGAAAACAGGTTCCTCAAATCCAGTAGATAGTATTGCTCTTTCCAGTATTGATGAAGGTTTCCTTCCTAATCTTTTATTTGAAGTGATGTGGAACGTCAACTCATTATTTTCTGTATATGTGCTATCCATTTTAGTTGTTGCTGCTGTTGGTAATCTCATGTTATGTAGTTTCTGTTATTTGGTACTGTTCTTTGTTTGTGAATAGTGCCAGTCTAAAATGTTCAAAGAAGGATGATTGAAGACCCTCAGGTTTTACTCAAAGCTTTTTTTTTCAAATGGCAGTCAAAATAGGCTTACGAATTCTCACAATTATTCCTAGTTACAAAAAGCAGAACTTAAACCAAATCTCACAAAAGGTTTTGGCTTTGTTTCTATTAACATAACAAAAATCCACTATTCTTTATTGCAAGTTACAATAAACACAAGAGAGGCAATAGCTGAGAAAAAAAAAGAGAAAAATCTTGTAATTTCTTTCTAACATGAGAAAATGAATTTCATTAGTGTGATCATAATAAAATTAAACTGAAAGTAATATAAAAACCTGTCGGCTAAGTGAATAGCTTTATGGTTGATTCTGAACAGTAAGGAACATTGGCAGAATTGTAGATATTTTCTGAGCAATCAATGTTGAAAAAAATCACCACCCCCTGTGGCATGAGGTTGATATACTAAGAGAGCATTACTGGAAAATATGAAAACTTAAGGAATCAGCACATATGTTAGGCCACAAAAATCTCCTAAGCCAGCCAAGCATAGAAATGAAAACAATATGGAAACTAGTAATACAGAGTGCTAGAGAAAAGCAACAGTAACAATAAAATTGCAATATGAGCTCTAGTAAAAAAAAAAAGGATGAGATATTACATTTATAAGTCCCAAAAATTCATATATTGCTTTCCTCAAGGACACATGGCCCAGTGGATAAAAGTGTTGGTTGGATCCAGTAACTTGACCTAAAGAGTTGTGAGTTCAATACCTTACAACAGCTGAGGTGGACAAAAAGAGATAACTGGAAGAGGCATAGGATGTAGAAGTAGAACAATCTACCCCAATGGATGAAATAAAGGTTTCAGTTCAAAATTCCAATCACCTGAAGAAGGCCGGAGTGTACAATGGCCAAAATTTTGTGAATATAATGATGAGGACAACAATGCAAATAATGTAAATAGTTATAATACATCATCTCATAAATATAGACAGAGATTTTTTTGATATAGGAAAAGGAGTTCAACTGAAACATAATTTAAATGACTTCTTACATCATTCTATGGCTTATGGCTACATCATGTTGAAACACCGGTTCCCATACAATCACCAAAGTTAAGCAACATCAAGCCTGGTAAGTACCTAGATGGGTGACCACTTGGGATTACCAGATGCTGTAAATGAATGATGGCTTGGAATTGTTAATTTTAGAGATGACTTCCAATTTCTGTTGAATTTGTTAGATTCCCTTACAGACAAATACCCTTAGTAAAGGTATGAAGCTACTTTGTTTCTTCCCAGCTATGGGTTAATTACTTAAACTTGTATCATTAAAACCAGTATTTTTGCCAAAAAATAAAATAAAATTGCATACAAAATATTTAGATTTCAGTATTAAATAATCCATAGAGGTTGATATGCTTCTAAACAAAAAAATATCATCATCCTATCAGAATCAAACAACTTTCTTGAGAGCAACAGATGACCATTAGAATTAGGGATCAAATTTTGTTTGCTTTCTTGTTGATATCAACAAAATCACATTTTAATGGCTCTTTTTATGTCATCATATCAGAATCAAGCAATTTTCTTGGTAACAAGAGAATTATCATTTGATTTAGGGATCATAGGTTTGTTCTCTTTTTTTCTATCCAGTGTCACTGCATAAACAATTTTGAACCAAATACTCTTTAATATTGAATCATAGATAGATCAAAATCTGGAACAGAACATAAAAACAAAACAAAGAAACATATCATCTACAAAGTATTCACTATTCTCCTATTGACAAAAATGTCAGTAATGAATCTAATTAATCAGAGATTGAGGAATAATTGTGTAGACAATCAGTTCATCAGAAATATTGTTAGCTAATTATGAACAGTAGTTAGTCATGTAGCAGTTAATGAAGCATGTTACTGAATAGAATATATATCTATGGTCATGATTATTGTTTCAATTGTAATAGGCAGACATGCAAATACCTTTGGAAAAAGGTATGGTAATTATTAACTCAAAAAAGAATTCTTATAATCTAAAAATATTTTCTGGCTTTAAATAACCTACAAAGGGTTGATAGGCCATAAAAATGAATCAATCAATCAATGATGTAAATAATTACAATACTTCATCTCAGAAATATAGACAGAGATTTTTTGATATAGGAAATGGATTTCAACTGAATCATATTTAAATGACTTCTTACATCATTCTATGGCTTATGGCTACATCACATATAAATGACTTCTTACATCATTCTATGGCTTATGGCTACATCACATATAAACGCCAGTTCCTGTACAACCACTGAAGTACATGCTTTATGCAAAAGGAGTAAATGACAAAAAATAATTTACAATACAGAATGAGAAATGGTAAATCAGTTTCTAGAATATAGATACTGTAGGTAAACTCTAAACTGAGGTAAACAGAAAACTCACAAAACTATGCTTGGCTTTGGGAATGAAGATTTATAATTTTTACATTTATATATATATATATATATATATATATATATATATATATAATAAACAAGCTAATTGAGGCCACAAATATTATACCTGTGTCTGTCTATACATCAATTATAACCAATTTTGTATATGAAGTAAGGAAACTGGATACAGCAGGATAGATTGCACCAGAGGTACTGTTGTACAATACCATGAGATGCCACAAGAGCAAAATATTAATCTGAAAACTCAAGTCATTTTCTTAACTAGTTCCATCAGATCTAGAATCTCATATGGATGTCATGCATAGCATTCAAATTGTTAACAATCACAAATTCTATAATTGTCATCCTTCATTGGAGAAATAGTTTAAATGTTTTCACTAAAACAACCAAGAGAAGGATAACAGTTCAAATAAATCAGTGTTAATGATAATTCTTCATTACAGAAATTCAGACAGAAAAAAATGTTATTAATAAATTTCACCCAGAATCTATTTTCTAAGAATTTAATGAAGATATTTTTCAAGCTGATTTCTAGATTAACAAATTACCTTTTCCTGAGAACTAATGATATTGAGAAATCAATAAAATGTTAATTTGAATGATTAGATGGAGAAAATATACAAGTAAATATAATGTTAATATTAAGAAACAAGAAATGTTCATTATAAACAATGAAACCAGTAATGAACTGCTATGTAATATCAGTCATTTTGTGTGGCAGTGAATGCTGGATAACCTTATCTCAGATGAAGAAGAGACTTGAGGCAACAGAGATGTGGTTTTACAGAAGGATGCTGAAAATACCATGAATTGAACGTGAGCAATGATGAAGTTTTAGAGGAAATTGAAATGAAAAGAACATAAATATTTGAAGAAATGTGAGGGGTGTACTCACTTTTGTGATACACCGTAAGTAATGAATAAATGCAAGATACCCTAAATATCACATGTTTCGTTCATGGTATTATCTGTATCACTGTTGCTTCAAATCATTTCTTCAGCTGTGAAGAAATTGTACAGCTTTCACTGCCATATTTGAGGATTGAGTTTACATAGCAGTTCAGATATAAGTTAATAAGAAAAGAAACTTAATATCAAAAATTTTTATAATGTCCAAATAGTTTAGTTCTGACAAAAGCTGCTTAACAAATTTGTATACCAAATTTTATAAAAAATGACCAGAGATATTGTGACACTGAGTCGTCGCACCATGGTCAACTCCAAGTCACAGCGTGAAACTGTGATATTTCTCCTATCAGCATTTTGGGGTTGACTCTTAGTCGCTGCCATCAACCTGTGTCCCAGTCAATCAGTGGTCGATCGGTGGTCGTCGCTGCCTGGCAGGATCCTTTGGTCAGGGTACCAAGTGGGATGGTTGGTTGATTTTAAACAGCTTCACACCAGATGCAACTGGTTCGACACCAGCTCCATCGTTCTCAGCTCACTTCCAATGTCTGGTTACCGAAGCAACTACTTCGATCTCAAGTCTAACCTACCAACATTGTGATTTTGATCTTAGGTAGACAAGATCAATCAGGCATCGGGCCGTAGTGTAAGATAAGTCTAAACTGGATGTGATATCACACAAGTGTAAAGAAAAGAAGCAAATAAAAACCCAAGAGGTTCAAGTATGTCGAAAGAAACAAATTAACTTTTATACGCCTGTTACATACAGGAGTGTGTGTTTTTCTCCCAACCCGTTTTCTTCGGAGAGTGACACTTTTATTCTTCTTAGGCAAGTTCTGGTTTCTAAGTCAAATGGTTTTGTTTTTAAGTGTTGGCTTAGCTTCGTTCATCAGTATAACTTGCTATTGGTAGGAAAGGCAAAGTCGGAGGTCATGGAATCTCTCGGCCAACTTCTGCAGGGCAATACTGTGGTTCCTGCTACTCGAACTGCTGGACTGAAACTTCTCAACAACTCAATTGGCAAACTGTCTAAGGGCGCTCGCTTATATGGACACTGACCAAAACCTGGTGCAGGGTTAGATGCAGCCTGGGGTTATCAGTAAATCCCAATTTCTGACAAGGGACCTCTTTGTTGTCTGGCTAGGAAAATTCCTTCCCATTTTGGGAAAATCAATTACTTTCCATTTGTTGGGGAGGACCCCTTCAGTTGTGAGGTGAGGTTGCAGGATAGCTATCCTCCCAAACTCCCTCCTTCTCACATTGGTACCTCAAACCGATTCCTTTCAGTGGGCATTAATAATTTCCCCATCTTTCTCATCAAATTACCTCTGCCTATCACCATTGCTACCACTCGACCAATGGCACCCCGGCCGTGCAGGTGTGACTAAGCCAGCCTCATTAAAATTATAAACTAGAATTTTTGTTTACAAAATTCTTGTTCTCACCGGCCAAAATTCTTACAAATAACACATTACTCTGTCTCTTAAAATCTCTGATATCTTCAACGCTCCTGGCCACTTTGCATCTTCTTAAACCATGCTTTTACAAACAACATCAATCGTCAAGGTCTGCGAGAACCCTTAGCTTCTCGGAAAAGAAAAATAAATCTCTTTATCTTTAAATCGGCAATTCTTTTGAGATATTTTCTCTTGCCAAAATTCTATAATCAACACATGGCCACTTAAAACCATATCCAATGCTTGGTTATTCCATGTTTTTCTCGACCAGTACTTTTACAATGTCATCAATCAATTGTCAAAGCCCACCATTTTGTCCCCTTCATGGAATTTAGCGTCTGCACGAACCTTTGGCTTCTTTGAGAAAAATAAATAATGGTAATTCTCTCCACCCTGTATTGGCAAATATTTCAGAATATTTTCTCATGCCAAAATTTTTATAATCAACACGTGGCTTTGCCTCACTGGTGCTTAAAATAATATCTTGTTCTCGGGTTTTCTTTAACCAGTACTTTTACAAACATCATTAATCAATTATCAAAAGCATGCATATGGCTTTTTTGTTGTAAGTCCACTGTTTACTCCGATTCTTGGGTTTTTTGAGAAATGTCACTTTTTGGGAAATAAAATAAAATCTTTATAATATCGAACGGGATATCTTTTGGGATATCTTCTTTCCGTTCTTAGTATTTCTTGTTAATTTTATGGTTAATTAGTTAATCAATTACGATAGCTAAATAGTGTCACAATATGCATGGAATTTGACAAGCTGAAAATGACATCTACATACTCTCAAATTAAAATGGATGTTTCATCATTATTTTGCTTTTAATTAATTGTTAAGAATGCATGAGTTTATAATTGTCTTGGAGTCTGTATAAGAGATTTTAAATTGAAATGTTCATTTTTAGGGGTTCCTTTGCTGCCATAAGGGACAAAAGCAACACAATAATCAGGTAAAATTACAGACACCTGAAGCTGACCACCAGAGGATATTTAGCTGAAATGTATCTAAGATGAGAAGACTATTTTGAATAAATTGAATAATTAAAAGTATACTGGCAATTACTCATTTAAAAAACAAAAATAAAATTAAGGAACTTCATTGCAGATTAAAACTCTATATTTCTGCATTCAAATTGATCTTTTAATATTCAGCTTCAGATCAAATAGTAAAATCTAAATATGCCTAACAAAAAGTACAATTTATTTTTGTTTTAATGTCATCATTTAAAGGGAGACAATCATGAGACAACATAAACTTTTACTTAAGCACAAGAGTAAGAAATAATGAAATATAGGAAAATAGCACAAAAAATATCAGATAATAATTCTGCTTGTTCTTTGATTCCTTAGTTGGCA